CTTTTTTCCAAGGAAAATACAGAGGCGAGTTTCTATTACAGATGCAGACAGCTCCATCCCTTCTATGGGTTGAAGACCTAGGCCAGGGAGACTGACATGAGGTCCCATGAATTAGAAGCATCTCAGAAAGGGATCAGATGGGGATTTTCCCTGCCACTTCCTGAAAACAGCCTGTCAATCCCCCAGCAGTTCTGAGCTAAGTCAGTTACACAGGTGGAATGGATCTGGCACCAGCAGAGATCTGTTCAGGCACAGGGGCCCTGGTTATGTTGTTGTTGCTGTTTTCTCTGTGCCTGTGCTTACCCAAGCACTGGTTATACCTACAGCACCATGTAATAATGTTAGCATCATATTGGAGCCTCACTGTTCTCATCCATTATTAGAAAAATAGGCTTTCCGACCAGGTGAAGTGGCTCATGTCTGTAATCTCAGCACTTTGGGAGGCTGATGTGAGCAGATCGCCTGAGCCCAAGAGTTCAAGACCAGCCTGGGCAATGTGGTGAAACCCCATCTCTACAAAAAAAAAAATACAAAAAATTAGCCAGCTTTAGTGGCTCACGCCTGTAATCCCAGCTACTCGGGAGGCTAAAACAGCAGGATTGCTTGAATCTGGGAGGCGAAGGTTGCAGTGAGCCAAGACTATTCCATTGCACTCCAGCCTAGGTGGCAGAGTGAGGCTTTGTCTCAAACAAAAAAAAAAAAAAGAGGCTTTCTGGCCAGGTGAAGTGACTCATGCCTATAATTCCAGCACCTTAGGAGGCTGAGGCAGGCTTAAGTTCAGAAGTTCAAGACTAGCTTAACCAGTCCCAACTATTTGGGAGGCTGAGGCAAGATCACTTGAGCCCAGGAGGTGGAGGCTGCAGTGAGCCAAGATTGTACCACTGCGCTCCAGCCTGTGCTACAGAGTGAGAGTCTGTCTTGAAAAGAAGAAAGAAAGAGAGAAAGAGAAAGAAAAAGAAAGAGGGAGGAAGGGAGGGAGGGAGGGGGAGGGAGAGAGAGAGAAAGAAAGAAAGAAAGAAAAAAGAAAGAAAGAAGAAAAAGAGAGAAAGAGAAAGAAAGAAAAAGAAAGAAAGAAAGAAAGAGAAAGAAAGAAAGGGAGGGAGGGAGAGAGAAAGAAAGAGAAAAGAAAACAAAATGAGAAAAATCAGCTTCCGATGATAGTCCCAGCTTCAAATACCCTGCTCAGTTGTCAGACTCCATGTTTGGATTTGAGTTGTGAAATCACAGGTCCCACTGAGGACAGTGTTGCCTCTCAGGCTTAGGATCTGGTATTGCATGTGCTCTGCAGGCCCCACACACATCCTCAACAAGCCAAAGCTCAGCGGAGCTGGTGAGCAGGTTAAGAATAGAGCTCAGAGCTGGCCGTGGTGGCTCACACCTGTTATCCCAGTACTTTGGGAGGCTGAGGCGGGTGGATCACCTGAGGTCAGGAGTTCGAGATCAGCCTGGCCAACATGGTGAAATCCTGTCTCTACTAGAAATACAAAAAAAAAAAAATTAGCTGGGAATGGTGGCACATGCCCGTAATCCCAGATCCTTAGGAGGCTGAGGCAGGAGAATCATTTGAGCCCAGGAGGCAGAGATTGCAATCAGCAGAGATGGCACTGTTGCACTCCAGTCTGGGTGACAGAGAGAGACTCTGTCTCAAAAAAAAAAGAAAACGAATAGAGCTCATAAGAGCTCCATGAGCAGCATTTCTGAACCTCTTTTAGAGTTGGCAGTATTTGCAACCTGAGAAATAGGTGGAGATATCGCCTTTCACCACCAGTATAAGTAGTTCTAGAAACATCACCTGAAGTTTCAGCCTGTGCTGTTAAAAAAAAGTTAACCCCCTGGTAAAATCACCTGAAAACCGTCCAGCAGTAGCCTCTAAAGTTAAACATAGGCATACCGTATGGCCTAACAATTCCATTCTTAAATATATATTCTCAGCAGAAAGGCATACATATGTGTCCCAAAAGGCATGCACAATTTGTAATAGTCAAAGCTGGAAACAACCCACATTTCTTTTTTTTTTTTAGACGGAGTTTAGCTCTCGTTACCCAAGCTGGAGTGCAATGGCACGATCTCGGCTCACTGCAACCTCCGCCTCCTGGGTTCAGGCAATAATTCTTCTGCCTCAGCCTCCTCCTGAGTAGCTGGGATTACAGGCACGTGCCACCGCGCCCAGCTAATTTTTTGTATTTTTAGTAGAGACTGGGTTTCACCATGTTGACCAGGATGGTCTCGATCTCTTGACCTCGTGATCCACCTGCCTCAGCCTCCCAAAGTGCTCAGATTACAGGCGTGAGCCACCGACAACCCACAATTCTATCAACAGTGGAATGAATAAATTGTGATATAGTCATGAAATATAGCTCTGAGACTGAGAAAAGTATTGAGATAAATCTCATTGAGCAACAGAAGCCAGACATAAAAATAGTACATACTATCTGATTCCATTGACATAAAGTTCACAAAAAGGCAAAATTAATCTATGATGTTAGAGGCCACAATACTGGTTATCTCGGGGGGCAGTGACTTGGAGAGGGCAAAAGGGGCTTTGATGTTCTGTTTCTGGTGACACAGATGATGGTTACTCAGGTGTGATCACCAATTTAACTAATGATTGGTGCACTTTTCTATAAGTACAGTCCTTACATTGCTCAATGATGGGGATACATTCTGAGAAATGTATTGTTAGGTGATTTTATCATTGTAGAACCATCATAGGGTATACTCACACAACCCTCAGTGGTACAGCCTACTATGCACCCAGGTTGTAAAGTATGGCCTATTGCTCCTAGACTAGACTACAAACTTGTGTAGCATGTTACTATACTGAATACTGTAGGTAATTGTAACACAATGGTAAATATTTGTGTATCTGGCTCATGCCTGTAATCCCAGCACTTTGGGAGGCCAAGGCAGGCTGTTCACGAGGTCAGGAGATCAAGACCACCCTGGCTAAAATGATGAAACCCCATCTCTACTAAAAATACAAAAAAAAAAACACTAACTGGGCATGGTGGTGTTCGCCTGTAGTCCCAGCTACTTGGGAGGCTGAGGCAGGAGAAGCACTTGAACCCAAGAGACGGAGGTTGCAGTGAGCCGAGGTTGCACCACTGAACTTCAGCCTAGGCGACAGAGCAAGACTCCCTCTCAAAAACAAACAAACAAAATATATATATATATGTGTGTGTATATATGTATATATATACATATACATATATTTTTTGTATGTATATATATGTGTGTGCGTGTGTGTATATATGTATATATACACATATATTTTTTGTGTATATATATGTGTGCATGTGTGTGTGTGTGTCTGTGTATATATATATATATATATATATATATATAAACATAGGAAAGGTACTATAAAAATACAGTGGTAGGCCAGGCATGGTGGCTCACACCTGTAATCTCAGCACTCTGGGAGGCCAAGGCAGGTGGATCACCTGAGGTCAGGAGTTCAAGACCAAACTGGCCAACATGGTAAAGCCCCATCTCTACAAAAATACAAAAATTAGCTGGGCATGATGACAGGTACCTGTAGTCCCATCTACTCAGAAGGTTAAGGCAGGAGAATAACTTAAACCCCGGAGGCGGAGGTTGCAGTGAGCCAAGATCACACCAATGCACTCCAGCCTGGGTAACAGAGTGAGACTCCATCTCAAACACACACACACACACACGCACACACATACTACACAACAGTGTAAAAGATATAGGGCATTCACCATGCAGGACTGCAGGTTGCTCTGGGTGAGTCAGCGAGGGAGCAGTGAGTGAGTGTGAAGGCCTAGGACATTGCTATACTCTACCATGGACTTTATAAATACTGTACACTTAGGCTACACTAAATTTATTTCAAAATTTTTTCTTAGACTGAGTGTGGTGGCTTACTATGTAATCCTAGCACTTTAGGAGGCTGAGGCAGGAGGACTGCTTGGGCCCATGAGTTTGAGATCAGTGTAGGCAACATAAGGAAACCCTGTTTCTACAAAAAATACCAAAATTATTCAGGCCTGATGGTGCACGCCTGTAGTCCCAGCTACTCAGGAGGCTGAGGTGGGAGGATTGCTGGGAGGTGGGAGGATTGAGCCTGGGAGGTTGAGGCTGCAGCGAGCTGTGATTGCACCACTGCACTCCAGCCTGGGCAACAAAGTGAGACCCTGTCTCAAAAACAAACAAACAAAAAACACACACTCAATAAAAAATCAAAATAAAATACATTTTTCTTTCAGGTTGGGGGCAGTGATTCACATCTGTAAATCCCAGCACTTTGGAAGATCCAGGTAGGAGGATCAGTTGAGGCCAGGGGTTCAAGACCAGCCTGGGAAACATAGCAAGATGCCGTCACTACAAAAAATTTAAAAAAATAATAGCTCAGTGTGCTCCGCTACTCGGGAGGCTGAGTTGGGAGACTGAAGCGGGAAGATTGCTTGAGCCCAGGAGTTTGAGGGTGCAGTGAGCAACAATTGTGCCAGCATAGGCAGCAGAGACAGACCATGTCCCAAAAAACATATTTTTCTTTCTTCAATAATAAATTAACTTTAGCTTACTATAACCTTTAAACTGTTTCAACTTTTTTTTCTTCTTCAACTTAATTGTAAGTTCAGGGGTATAGCTGCAGGATGTGCAGTTTTGCTGCATAGGTAAACGTGCCGTAGTGGTTTACTGTACACATCATCCTATCGCCTAGATATTAAGCCCAGCATCCACTAGCTATTCTTCCTGATGCTCTCCCTCCCTCCACCACCCCCCGACAGGCCCCAGTGTGTGTTGTTCCCTGCTCCATATGTCCACGTGTTCTCATCATTCAGCTCCCACTTGTAAGTGAGAACATGCAGTGTTTGGCTTTCTGTTCCTGCGTTCATTTGCTGAGGATAATGGCTTCCCATACCACCCATGCCCCTGCTAAGGGCATGATCCTTTTTTTATGGCTGCATAGTATTCCATGGTGTATACATACCACATTTTCTTTATCTAGTCTATCACTGATGGGCATTTAGAAAAATATGGAATGCTTCATGAATTTGTGTGTCATCCTTGCACAGGGTCCATGCTAATTTTCTCTGTATTGCTTCAATTTTAGTAAATGTGCTGCTGAAGTGAGGACTTTAATTTTTTGACTTTTGTAAAAACACTTATTTTAAAACACACATTGTACAGCTGAACAAAAATATTTTCTTTTCCTTTTCCTTTTCTTTTTTTTAGACAGCTCACTCTGTCTCCCAAAGTGTCACAATCTCGGCTTACTTCATAGCTTACTGTAGCCTTAACTTCCCAGGCTCAAGAGATCCCTTCACCTCAGCCTCTTAAGTACCTGAAACCACAGGCACATGCCACCATGCCCGGATAATTTTTGTATTTTTTGTAGAGACAGGGTTTCACCACGTTGCCCAGGCTGGTCTCAAACACATGGTCTCAAGCAATCTGCTGGATTACAGATGTGAGTCACCATGCCCAGCAATTTTCTTTCTCTCTCTCTTATTCTATAAGCTTTTATGTATTTAAAAAAAATTTTTTTTTTGAGACAGAGTTTTGCTCTTGTTGCCCAGGATAGAATGCAATGGCGCCATCTCAGCTCACCACAACCTCCACCTCAAGCGATTCTCCTGTCTCAGCCTCCCGAGTAGCTGGGATTAGGCACGCTGCCACGCCAGGCTAAACTTGTATTTTTAGTAGAGACGGGGTTTCTCCATGTTGGTCAGGCTGGTCTCAAACTCCTGACCTCAGGTAATACACCCGCCTCAGCCTCCCAAAATGCTGGGATTACAGGTGTGAGCCACCAAGCCCAGCTATTTTTAAATTTTTTTATATGTGTGTGTGTGTATACACACACACACACACACACACACACACATTATATATATATATATATATATATTTTTTTTTTAATAGAGATGGGGTTTTACCATGTTGGCCAGGCTGGTCTTGAACTCCTGACCTCAGGTAATACACCTGCTTCAGCCTCCCAAAATGCTGGGATTACAGGTGTGAGCCACCAAGCCCAGTTATTTGTTAAATTTTTTATATGTGTGTGTGTGTGTGTGTGTGTGTGTATATATATATGTATACATGTATACATATATATATATATATATATGTATATATATATATTTTTTTTAATAGAGATGGGGTTTCACCATGTTGGCCAGGCTGGTCTCAAACTCCTGACCTCAAGCAATCCACCCGCCTCAGCCTCCCAAAGTGCTGGGATTACAGGCATGAGCCAGCGTGCCCGGCTAAAAATTTTTTTTTTTTTTTGAGATGGAGTTTCTCTCTTGTTACCCAGGCTGGAGTGCAATGGCAGGATCTCTGCTCACCGCAACCTCCGCCTCCTGGTTTCAAGCATTTCTCCTGCCTCAGCCTCCGGAGTAGCTGGGACTACAGGCGTGCACCACCATGCCCAGCTAATTTTTGTGTTTTTGGTAGAGACGGTGTTTCGTCTTGTTGACCAGGATGGTCTCAATCTCTTGACCTCGTGATCCACCCACCTCGGCCTCCCAAAGTGCTGGGATTATAGGCGTGAGCCACCGTGCCTGCCAAATTTTTTATATTTTAGCTAAAATTTTTTTTTGTTAAAAACTGAAACACAAATACATGTTAGCCTAGGCATACACGAGGTCAGGATTGTCACTATCATCATCTTCCGCCTCCACAACTCATCTCACTGGAAGGTCTTCAGGGACAACAACACACACAGAGCCGTCATCTCCCATGATAACAAGGCCTTCTTCTGGAATCCCTCCTCCAGGACATGCCTGAGGCCGTTTTACAGTTAACTTTTTTAGTAAGTAGGAGTACACTCTAAAATAGTGATAACAATTATAGTACATCAAATACATAAACCAGTAATGTCACTTATTATCAAGTATTATGTACCATACATGGTTGTATGTGCTATACTTTACAGGACTGGCAGTGTAGGTTTCTTTAGACCAGCATCACTACAACTATGTGAGTAATGTGTTGCACTGTGACATTACAACAGCTATGATGTCACTAGACAAGATAAATTTTTCAATTTCATTATAATCTAGTCCGTTGTTGACTGCAATGTCATTATGCAGTACCTGACTGTATATTATATTTCAATACAAAGGTTTCCTTAAAAAAATAAATAGCGCCTGGGTGAAGTGGCTCATGTCTATAATCACAGCACTTTGGGAGGCCGAGGTAGGCAAATCACCTGAGGTCAGGAGTTCGAGGCCAACCTGGCCAACATGGTGAAACCTCATCTCTTCTAAAAATAGGAAAAAATTAGCCAGGCATGGTGGCAGGTACCTGTAATCCCAGATACTCAGAAGGCTGAGGCAGGAGAATTGCTTGAACCCAGGAAGCAGAGGTTGCAGTGAGCCAAGATCATGCCATGGCACTCCAGCCTGGGCCACAGAGTGAGACTCGGTCTAATAAGTAAATAAATAAATGGCCCCTCTGACCCTACTGCATAAGAGAGTTCCAGGGAGAGCCCAGAAACTGAGCACCTCTGTGGTATCTTCTGAGGATCCTTAGTTACTAGGTTTTCCAAAGTCCTAAAAGCTGATGTCAGCAACCAGAGCTGTGGGGACACAGGAAAAGAGGGAGGTGGCTTAGTGTCACTGGGCACACAGGAAGCCTGCAAAGGGCTGGCCCTGGCCCTGCCTGAGCAGACCAGACAGACCACTGTCTGTGCTGAGCTGAGGTCGGCTCCCAACAAGCCTTCCAAGAACCTTGATCTGCTCAGATAAACCCCGTCCTGAGCCCTCTAGAATAAAACGGAGAGAGCATCTTACTGTAGGTTAGGGCAGGGCTGGGTGTAGAGGCTGAATTGGGCCCACATTAGACTGGGCATTGAGTCCCAGTTTCACCAGTCTTTCTACATTGTTTGAGCTCTCCCCGATTGTCAGCTCCCTGCTGGCCAAGCTTAGCAACACTCAGGGCATGGCTTGGCACTTGAGAAGTTTCCAGTGATGTTCACCTGAGCGGGGTGGGAAGGCAGGAGTGAATGGCCCCACCTGCACCATGTCTAAGGGAGGAGAGCTCCCCACCCAAATGTCTGGATGAAAGAAGAGGGATTCATCAGACCCTTCAATGCCAGGAGGCCCTAAGAGTGCCTTGCGCACAGCAGGTGCCTCCTCACGCTTGTTGAAAATCTAAATGGAATAAAGTTTGCAGTCTTGGGTTTGCCTTAAAGCCAGATAAGCACCTACTCTGTGGGCTGCAGAAGCCTCAAGGTTAGGCCCAGAGAAAGCAGAACCTGCCTTAGGCCACACAGAAGTCCCTGGTGGTGGCTGAGTTTTTGGAGAGGATGGTGGCAGCTTGAAAAACTAGTCAGTGAAGTCGGAGAGAAGCAGATACCTTCCTGTTGCCCTACCTTCTCCCCACGTACAGATGGGCAAATTGAGTCTTAGAAGAAATGGATGGCTAGTCCCTGCCTCACAGCTAATCTGTTGAATCTTGGATTAGTGCTGTACTATCATACCCACTCCTCTAATCTCCCTCTCCTTCCCCAGTCCTGAGTTTCTTCACAGAAGCATCACTGCCTACTCACATCCACGCATTTTGCCTGCCTCTAGAATAGGGGTCAGCAAACTATTTCTGTAAAGGGTCAGATGGTAGATCCTTTTGGCTTTGAAGTCCATAGGCCCATAGATTTTCTGCTGCAGCTCCTCAGCTCTGCCTTGCAGTGTGAAAGCTGCCACAGGAAACATGTAAATAAACAGGCATGGCTGTATTCCTTTATTTATGGATGTTGAAATTTGAATTTCACATAATTTTACACATCTGGTGGTTCATGCCCATAATCCCAGCATTTTGGGAGGCTGAGGCAGGAGGATCACTTGAAGTCAGGAGTTGGAGACCAACCTGGCCAACATGGTGAAACCCCACCTCTACTAAAAATACAAAAATTAGCTGGGCATAGTGGCCCATGCTTGTAATGCCAGCTACTGGGGAGGCTGAGGCAGGAGAATCACTTGAACCTGGGAGGCAGAGCTTGCAGTGAGCCGAGATCACACCACTGCACTCCAGCCTGGTCAATAGAGTGAGACTCTATCTAAAAAAAAAAGGAAAAACTATTCTTAGCTCATAGCCTGTACAAAAATGGGTAGTGGGAGCTGGCCTTCAGGCCACAGTTGGCAAATTCCTTGTTCTAGAATGTGCCATCCTGGGGCTCAGACTCCCCAGAGTCACTGGGGCTGTAAGTCCTGTCCTACCATATAGGTGTCATGAATGGTGAACTGTTCTGGTTTGCTTAGGAATGAGGGTTTCCTAGGATTTAGGTTTTTTGGTGCTAAAACCAGGACAGTCCCAAGCAAACCAGAACAGGACAGTTGGTCATCCTAGGTAGTAATCTTTAACCCAGAGAGGGCCAGGCTTCAGGAGCCAGCTGGCCAGGGTTCAAGTGTGGCCCCCCAGGGCGTGCTCCAGGCACTGCCTTGTCCTTGTGGTTTGTGGCAGGGCCTTGTCCCATTTGGGCTGGCCCTCTGCAGGGAGATGCCCCCTCCTCCATGCAAGAAAACCTCTGTGGTCTGGGAGCTCTCAAAAGGCAGGAAGTTGAATCATCAACTCCGGTAACGTCTCCGTCAGCCTGTGGGTCTGCCCGGGGAGCTCGGGGCTCCAGGCCCAGGGACCTGGCTCTGTGCTTTGTTTGCTGCTTTCTCTGAGGAGGAAAGCTCCAGAAGGAGGCTTCTAGAGAAATGAGAGCTGTTGAGTCAGATGAGGAGGAGAGCTGGATGTCAGGTTGACCAAGACTCTCACCCAGCTCTGTCCTGGTCTTGCTTTGTGGCCTTCAGTGACTCTTTGTATTTTGGCTTTGGCTTTTACCACAGAAATGCTGATTCTTGAAATCCTCTTAAATTAAGAGTATGAATGACGACCAAAGTGGGAACACCGGGTTCCGGACGACTCATTTTAGCTTCACTACCACAGATGCAGGTTGCTCAGACACACATCCCTGCCTCCTGCTTGCCTGGGAGAAGGACCTGACTAGCCTCCCCAGTTCTGGCCTCAGGGTCTTTAGGAAGGTGACAAGTCTGGATTTAGAGAGACAGAGGAGAGGGGCAGAAAAGGAGGTCCAGGTTAAAGATGGTTACCCACAGATAACAATAATAAGCATACCACCTGTTATCTGTT